TCCACCTGGAGTATTGCAGTGTCTGCATGGAAGACACTGTCATGCAATTCAGGTGCATCTACAAGGATGACACGGCACTGTGCTTATATCCCTGTCTATGTCTGAAGAGAATGAGGAACAATATGGGAGCGAGTACTGTGCTTTGCAGACCAGAGCTTATCACCGAAGCCACCTCAGATTTTACTCTGTTGACTACTGCACGTTTGTTTTCTATTTGTCAGGAAATTATAGATCCATCTACCAACTTTTCCCTGTTATTCCTTTAGTATGCAATTTTGTGCGCTATTACACAAGGTCAAACATGTCCGAAAGGCATTTGCAAAGTCTGTGTTATAGTACATCTGCATTCTTTTTGTCATTCTAGGCATCCAGGACTTGTCTTTTGTGATTCAGCAGTTGGACAGACAAAGCGACCTGCTCAAAAACTCTGGGTTGTGTACAAATTTGATGATATCAGATGGGTAGCGATCTTGCTTCTTAGGACCCTTTCAAGAATTTTTTATGATATGGGAGTGTTATCGCTAACGGTCTGTAGTTCTTTGCTATTTTGCATTACTGACGCCCATGTGGAATGGGGCTATGTCTGTTGTTCTAGTAATTGTGGACGACCCAAGTGCCCATGCTCCCTCTCCATAGGATGTAAACCCTTTCTAGGTTTCGGATATACTAGTATGGCTTATGCACCAGTGTCCATGACGTACTAGTAAGCATAAATTCTAGCCCCTTCAAATCTAGTGAGAGAAAGCTGGTAGGCCTACATATGAAAGAATGGGTCAATGTGGCCAGTGTGCACAGTTTTACCTGGAGTTTACCTGGAGAGAGTTCCGGGGGTCAACGCCCCCGCGGCCCGGTCTGAGACCAGGCCTCCTGGTGGATCAGAGCCTGATCAACCAGGCTGTTGCTTCTGGCCTGCACCAAACCAACGACCGAGCACAGCCCCGGCTGATCAGGAACTGAACTTTAGGGTGCTTGTCCAGTGCCACTTTAAGACTGCAAGGGGTCTGTGGTAAAACCCCCATATGTGTGCTGGGAGGCAGTTGAACAGTCACGGGGGGGGGGGGGGCCCCTGACACTTATTGAATGGTCTCTTAAACTTGCTAGTGACACCCCTGCTTTTCATTGGGGTGAATGGTGCATCGTCAGCAAGTCTTTTGCTTCGTAGTGAGATGATTTTCGTGTGCAAGTTCGGTACTAGTCCCTCTAGGATTTTCCAGGTGTATATAATCATGTATCTCTCCCTCCTGCGTTCCAGGGAATACAGGTTTAGAAACCTCAAGCGCTCCCAGTAATTGAGGTGTTTTATCTCCGTTATGCGCGCCATGAAAGTTCTCTACATTTTCTAGGTCGGCAATTTCACCTGCCTTGAAAGGTGCTGTTAGAGTGCAGCAATATTCCAGCCTAGATAGAACAAGTGACCTGAAGAGTGTCATCATGGGCTTGGCCTCCCTAGTTTTGAAGGTTCCCATTATCCATCCTGTCATTTTTCTAGCAGATGCGATTGATACAATGTTATGGTCCTTGAAGGTGAGATCCTCCGACATAATCACTCCCAGGTCTTTGACGTTGGTGTTTCGCTCTATTTTGTGGCCAGAATTTGTTTTGTACTCTGATGAAGATTTAATTTCCTCATGTTTACCATATCTGAGTAATTGAAATTTTTCTCATCGTTGAACTTCATATTGTTTTCTGCAGCCCACTGAAAGATTTGGTCGATGTCCGCCTGGAGCCTTGCAGTGTCTGCAATGGAAGACACAGTCATGCAGATTCGGGTGTCATCTGCAAAGGAGACACGGTGCTGTGGCTGACATCCTTGTCTAGTCGGATATGAGGATGAGGAACAAGATGGGAGCTAGTACTGTGCCTTGTGGAACAGAGCTTTCACCGTAGCTCCCTCGGACTTTACTCTGTTGACGACTACTCTCTGTGTTCTGTTAGTGAGGAAATTATAGATCCATCAACCGACTTTTCCTGTTATTCCTTTAGCGCGCATTTTGTGCGCTATTACGCCATGGTCACACTTGTCGAGAGGCTTTTGCAAAGTCTGTATATATTACATCTGCATTCTTTTTGTCTTCTAGTGCATTTAGGACCTTGTCGTAGTGATCCAGTAGTTGAGACAGACAGGAGCGACCTGTTCTAAACCCATGTTGCCCTGGGTTGTGTAACTGATGGGTTTCTAGATGGGTGGTGATCTTGCTTCTTAGGACCCTTTCAAAGATTTTTATGATATGGGATGTTAGTGCTATTGGTCTGTAGTTCTTTGCTGTTGCTTTACTGCCCCCTTTGTGGAGTGGGGCTATGTCTGTTGTTTTTAGTAACTGAGGGACGACCCCCGTGTCCATGCTCCCTCTCCATAGGATGGAAAAGGCTCGTGATAGGGCTTCTTGCAGTTCTTGATGAACACAGAGTTCCATGAGTCTGGCCCTGGGGCAGAGTGCATGGGCATGTCATTATCGCCTGTTCGAAGTCATTTGGCGTCAGGATAACATCGGATAGGCTTGTGTTAATCAAATTTTGTGGCTCTCTCATAAAAAATTCATTTTGATCTTCGACTCTCAGTTGGTTAGCGGCTTGCTAAAAACTGAGTCATATTGGGACTTGAGTAGCTCACTCATTTCCTTGCTGTCATCTGTGTAGGACCATCTTGTTTAAGTAGGGGCCCAATACTGGACGTTGTTCTCGATTTTGATTTGGCATAGGAGAAGAAATACTTTGGGTTTCTTTCGATTTCATTTATGGCTTTTAGTTCTTCCCGCGATTCCTGACTCCTAAAGGATTCTTTTAGCTTAAGTTCGATGCTTGCTATTTCTCTGACCAGTGTCTCCCTACGCATTTCAGATATATTGACCTCTTTTAGCCGCTCTGTTATTCTTTTCCGTCGCCTGTAAAGGGAGTGCCTGTCTCTTTCTATTTTACAGTAAGAGTGGTAGTGAAATAAAATACCCGGAGAGTGTGGTGGTACAATAAGAATGGTAGTGTAATAAAGTACCTGGCAAGTGTGGTGGTACAGTAAGAATGGTAGTGTAATAAAGTACCTGGAGAGTGTGGTGGTACAGTAAGAGTGGTAGTGTAATAAAGTACCTGGAGAGTGTGGTGGTACAGTAAGAGTGGTAGTGTAATAAAGTACCTGGAGAGTGTGGTGGTACAGTAAGAGTGGTAGTGTAATAAAGTACCAAGTACCTGGAGAGTGTGGTGGTACAGTAAGTGTGATAATCTAATAAAGTACCTGGAGAGTGTGGTGGTACAGTATGAGTGGTAGTGTAATAAAGTACCAAGTACCTGGAGAGTGTGGTGGTACAGTAAGAGTGGTAGTGTAATAAAGTACCTGGAGAGTGTGGTGGTACAGTAAGAGTGGTAGTGTAATAAAGTACCTGGAGAGTGTGGTGGTACGTAAGAGTGGTAGTGTAATAAAGTATCTGGAGAGTGTGGTGGTACAGTAAGAGTGGTAGTGTAATAAAGTACCTGGAGAGTGTGGTGGTACAGTAAGAGTGGTAGTGTAATAAAGTACCAAGTACCTGGAGAGTGTGGTGGTGCAGTAAGAGTGGTAGTGTAATAAAGTACCTGGAGAATGTGGTGGTACAGTAAGAATGGTAGTGTAATAAAGTACCTGGAGAGTGTGGTGGAGCAGTAAGAGTGGTAGTATAATAAAGTACCTGGAAAGTGTGGTGGTGCAGTAAGAGTGGTAGTGTAATAAAGTACCTGGAGAGTGTGGTGGTACAGTAAGAGTGGTAGTGTAATAAAGTACCTGGAGAGTGTGGTGGTACAGTAAGAGTGGTAGTGTAATAAAGTACCTGGAGAGTGTGGTGGTACAGTAAGAGTGGTAGTGTAATAAAGTACCCGGAGAGTGTGGTGCAGTAAGAGTGGTAGTATAATAAAGTACCTGGAGAGTGTGGTGGAGCAGTAAGAGTGGTAGTATAATAAGTACCTGGAAAGTGTGGTGGTGCAGTAAGAGTGGTAGTGTAATAAAGTACCTGGAGAGTGTGGTGGTACAGTAAGAGTGGTAGTGTAATAAAGTACCTGGAGAGTGTGGTGCAGTAAGAGTGGTAGTATAATAAAGTACCTGGAGAGTGTGGTGGTACAGTAAGAGTGGTAGTGTAATAAAGTACCTGGAGAGTGTGGTGGTACAGTAAGAGTGGTAGTGTAATAAAGTACCTGGAGAGTGTGGTGGTACAGTAAGAGTGGTAGTGTAATAAATGTACTTGGAGAGTGTGGTGGTTACAGTAAGAGTGGTAGTGTAATAAAGTACCTGGAGAGTGTGGTGCAGTAAGAGTGGTAGTATAATAAAGTACCCGGAGAGTGTGGTGGTACAGTAAGAGTGGTAGTGTAAAAAAGTACCTGGAGAGTGTGGTGGTACAGTAAGAGTGGTAGTGTAATAAAGTACCTGGAGAGTGTGGTGGTACAGTAAGAGTGGTAGTGTAATAAAGTACTTGGAGAGTGTGGTGGTACAGTAAGAGTGGTAGTATAATAAAGTACCTGGAGAGTGTGGTGGTGCAGTAAGAGTGGTAGTGTAATAAAGTACCAAGTACCTGGAGAGTGTGGTGGTACAGTAAGAGTGGTAGTGTAATAAAGTACCTGGAGAGTGTGGTGGTACAGTAAGAGTGGTAGTGTAATAAAGTACCTGGAGAGTGTGGTGGTACAGTAAGAGTGGTAGTGTAATAAAGTACCTGGAGAGTGTGGTGGTAGAGTAAGAGTGGTGGTACAGTAAGAGTGGTAGTGTAATAAAGTACCTGGAGAGTGTGGTGGTACAGTAAGAGTGGGTTTTGTAATAAAGTACCTGGAGAGTGTGGTGGTACAGTAAGAGTGGTAGTGTATAAAGTACCTGGAGAGTGTGGTGGTACAGTAAGAGTGGTAGTGTAATAAAGTACCTGGAGAGTGTGGTGGTACAGTAAGAGTGGTTGTGTAATAAAGTACCTGGAGAGTGTGGTGGTACAGTAAGAGTGGTAGTGTAATAAAGTACCTGGAGAGTGTGGTACAGTAAGAGTGGTAGTGTAATAAAGTACCTGGATAGTGTGGGCGTGGGTGGGTGGTGGCTGGTGCTGGAGAACATGGAGATACAGTTGACCATCTTGTAAAGTTATCCTGGAGTAGCGGAGGTCATCTTGGTCTTGCTGGACACCAAACACCAGGCCAGCCTCCACCAGCCTCTTGACGCTCTCACTCATCCCACGAAGATAATCAATCTGTGGGCAGTTACCACCATTATCACCTCTTCACAGTGTCACTACCATTATCACCTGTGTACAGTATCACTACCATTATCACCCATGTGCAGTCTCAGCATCATTATTACAAGTGTACAGTGTCACTATCATGTAGAGTGTCAGCACCATTATGACAAGTGTCCAGTATCACTATCACCCATATACAGTGCCAGCACCATTATCACAGGTGTACAGTGTTATGATAATGTTTGCTTCAGCATGATAGTGTTTGAACAAAGGAGAATGACAAAAGCCACTATATATGCAGAACATTTTGGCCAAACTTAAGATTAATAAGGCAATAACAATACAGTGTAAATTTAGGTGTTTACAATAAATAAAATATAAGTGAATATTACACAAATAACCCACACATAAAAGAGAGAAGCTTACGACGACGTTTCGGTCCGATTTGGACCATTGACAAAGTCACACTAACCAGAGGTGGAGCAGGATGGCTATATATAGGCAGGAAGAGGTGGTGGTAGTAGTAGTAGTAGTAGTAATAGTAGTAGTAGTAGTAGTACAAGAATTGTATATAATACCGGCAAGATGAAATTAAGACACATGCACAACACCCGGGCATCCCCATCGTAGACGCTTCGCCATCCAGCCAGCCACTGGATGGCGAAACGTCCACAACAAGGACAACCAGACGCCGCACATGTGTCTTAATTTCATCAGTAGTTGTAGTAGTAGTAGTAGAAGAAGAAGAGGTAGTAGTAGTGGTAGTGGTAGAAGTGGGAAATAAGGAAGACGAGCCAGTCAAATACAAAGGAAGGAGAGCACTGCAAGAGAGCTAGATGCCCACAGAGGGAGAGCAAGCACACAGAGGTGCGTGAAAGGGGAAGTGGTGAAATAAATGAAGAAGGAACAGAAACACGAGACAGTAGAGAGAAAGACAACCCAGAGGAGAAAAGGAAAGAGGAAAGGGGAAGAGGAAGAAGAAGAAAAAGAAAAAGAAAAAAGAAAAAATGAGGATTCAAGTTTTTTCTTTTTTTTTCTTTTGTTTTTTCCTTGTTTTTTTTTTTTTCTTTTTTTTCTTTTTTTTTCTTTTTTTTTCTTTTTTTTCTTTTTTTTTCTTTTTCTTTTTCTTCTTCTTCCTCTTCCCCTTTCCTCTTTCCTTTTCTCCTCTGGGTCGTCTTTCTCTCTCCTGTCTCGTGTTTCTGTTCCTTCTTCATTTATTTCACCACTTCCCCTTTCACGCACCTCTGTGCGCTTGCTCTCCCTCTGTGGGCATCTAGCTCTCTTGCAGTGCTCTCCTTCCTTTGTATTTGACTGGCTCGTCTTCCTTATTTCCCACTTCTACCACTACCACTACTACTACCTATTCTTCTTCTACTACTACTACTACAACTACTGATGAAATTAAGACACATGTGCGGCGTCTGGTTGTCCTTGTTGTGGACGTTTCGCCATCCAGTGGCTGGCTGGATGGCGAAGCGTCTACGATGGGGATGCCCGGGTGTTGTGCATGTGTCTTAATTTCATCTTGCCGGTATTATATACAATTCTTGTACTACTACTACTACTACCACCACCTCTTCCTGCCTATATATAGCCGTCCTGCTCCACCTCTGGTTAGTGTGACTTTGTCAATGGTCCAAGTCAGACCGAAACGTCGTCGTAAGCTTCTCTCTTTTATGAGCGGGTTATTTGTGTATCGTTCCAGTCACGGTATTGTGCCTTTTTTTGTTATTTAAGTGAATATTGTATTTGTTCAGACTACATGACTAACAAGTTTACTTGAGGGGAATTACAAGTTTCATTATAAACCTAAAGTGTACACAATTGTTTAATGATTGTGAGAGTTACAGATACGGTGGACCCTCGATTTTTGTGATTAATCTGTTCCAGAGAGTCTACCAAAAGTCGAAATTCATGAGAATCAAAACCATTTTTCTCATAAGAAATAATGTAAATCCAATTAATCTGTTCCAGACACCCAAAAATAATTTTTTATGGATTAATATAGATTTACATATATAAAGGAATGAGAAATCAATATAAAGCAATAATAAAATGTATAAAAGATCATTTAACATCACACTTACCTTTATTGAAGACTCTTTTTGGTGTATGGAAGACGGGAAAAGGGGAGAGGGTTAGGGTGATGTTCCTCCACAAATGTTTGCACTTCACCCCACTTTGCAAAATGTCTTTAATCTTTAACCCTTTGAGGGATTTGGACGTACTAGTATGGCTTACGCGCAGGGTTTTTTGACGTACTAGTACGCATAAATTCTAACCGTCAAATCTCGCGGAAAAGGCTAGGACTAGTTTAGAGAATGGGTCTGTGTGGTCAGTGTGCATGGCAGAAAAAAAATCTGGGACCCAGTGGTGCATTGTGGGAACGCCATCTTAGTACACAATGTCCATGCCTCGCAGTAAGAAGTTCCTCACTCCTCGGTGATTTGGGACACTTTTGTTCCCCAGTGACAGTTCTAATACAGATGGAAGTGCCAGTGAAGATGAGTTTCAAGGTTTTGGTGAGGTTTTGACTGAAAGTAATGACCATAATATCAGTAATAGTGAGGAAAACCAAGACGACCCTCAGCCTTCCACCTCTGGTGCTGGGCCGTTTTGTTCACATTCAGTTGTACCAGAATTAAAGAGGAAACTCCTATTTTCCCAAATCCTAGACTCAGATGTGAGCATTTTTGATGATAGTGATAGTGATTATGAACTACAAGCTCTTGAAAACAGTTCCAGTAGTGATATTGAAGTGGAATATTCCCCAGTGAAGGGGTCCAGTCCCTGGACCCATTATGTACCTTTGTAATCTTTTGACTACCGCCCACAGGATGGGTATGGGGTGCATAATAAAGATATTAAACTAACTAACCCCAGTGAAGCGTCAGTATATGCAATGATATATGCGCTCTGTGCAATATGCTATTCCAAGGGGAAGGAGTACATCTCGGAGTACATCCCGTGGCTGTACAACAGGAACAGACAGTGAAAATGATGATGATAGTGTTGCAATTGGGATGGAAAATGTGCATGGTGGTGGTAGTGGTGGTGACGGCCGTGAGACACCAGCAGTGGGCCATGCTGCCACCCACGCCGCTGCCTCAGCTGATCTACAACAAAGGCCACAATCCCCCACCCACCCACCACCCCAGCCTCCACAACCACAACCTCCAAAACCACAACCACCTGTATTGTCCAGCACCCTCCAGCAACCACCCCCCTGGATTGGCAGGAAGCTGTCAATTTTGTTCCCAAATGCCCACCAGTTTGATGACAGCCAAAGTGGAATACGGCCATCTTGTACACTGGAACAATGCCACTGAACTGGAATTTTTCGAGTTATCTTTGACGAACCCCTGATGGAAAGTATTGTCATGGAAGAAACACATACTACGAGTACACCATGGCAAACACATTTAATTTTCCACCAAAATCACATCTACACCAGTGGAAGAGGCAACTGTGGCTGAGATGTATCTTTTTTACAACAATAATGCTTATGCCATATGTGTTATAAAGAACAAAGTGAAATCATACTGGTAAAACAGACTGCCTGATTGCAACCCCAGGTTTCGTGATATAATGCCAGTGAATCATTTGTGCTAATGTTAGGGTATGCTTCACTTCTCAGAAAAAAACCCAGGCCTGACAGAAACAACAGGTTATATAAGATTAGGCATGTGTTTGTGTTCGCATCGCTATTGGGCCATGCGGACGTGCTGCGCAGTAAACTCCTGATTGAGTTTGGGTTTTGCGCAGTGTTGACGTGTACTTGGGTCTGTGAAGACCTGTTTGCGCGCTCTCTAGAACTGAACAAGATGCCCTCCATCGAGCAACTTTAAACCCAACAGCTTAAGGAAGAAATTGAGGTTGGCGAATATGGAAAAATTTGGCGACTGACCGAGGAAAACAAAAACATTCGGAGTAGTCCTCCTGTTTTGAGTCCTCAGGTCAAGAAGGGAAACTGGTCAGTGGCTTGACAGCAGGGAAAGAAGTTGACGATCAAGAAGACGAATGGAAAGGTAGAAACGTGAAGAAAAAAACTCCCATGGAAACTGTTGGAAACACAAACTTTCTCAGTGCTACCCGAGAATGTGATGACTACTGGGAACTCACGACGAAAGACATTAAGAAGTCGAAATTTTGTTGTTGGGGGATAGCCAATTTAGAAAAAGGATAGGGCGTTCGCTTGAAGGACGGGAGTGGGAACAGAATTTTGCTTTCCGGGGGCTGGGATGGAGGAATTGTTAGCCGTCGGGATGAAAACTGAGAGGTAATGGGAGCATCCTTTTATCGTCCCATGCGGGCAACGATTTGGGCAGACGTAGGAGGGGACCTGATTAGCGGGTATAGGTCAGCAAAGAAAAAATTAGAATAAGGGTGGAACCCTCTCATTTTGGGGAAATTTGCCAAGGGGGGGAGTTGGAAAATGAAGGTTTCCCAGGGCATTGGGTGTAAATTGCTGGCTGGACAAAACTGAAAGGGAAAACGGAAATCATTGAAAACGGGGCCCTTTTCCCATGGCAAAAATGACATGTATGCAGGGGGGGTTCACTTATCTAGGGGTTGGGGGGGGGCACTGGCAACTGCATGGAGGGACAGTTAGGACTTTTCAGGGAAAAGTTATGGTTGGGTTTTTTGGGAGGAAAACAGGAAGCCCGTGTAGTAATTTTAAAGAGTTCAAGGGAATAGTAAAAAAAGAATGAGATAGATATTGAAAAAACCCCGGGAACCCTTTGGTGATAAGGACAGAATAGGTTTAAAGGAAAAAAAAGAAATGACAGGGAAAGGGGAAAGAGAAAGGAAGTCTTTTTAATGTTATTACTAATTGCCGTAGTGTAAAAAAGTGGACGAGTTGAATTAGTTGCTAGTGTAGGTAACATTGATGTATTTGCCTTAACTGAGACGTGGTTTAATTCAAAAAGTCGGGACATGCCTGTGGAATGTCATATTCAGGGTTTTAAATTGTTCCAAGAAGATAGAAGTATTGGGAGGGGGGGGGGTGGCATTGTATGTCCGAGATCGCTTGAACTGTTGCATAAAAACGGGCAGTAAGTCTGAAGTAACACATACAGAGTCTGTTTGGATAGAATTTTCAGAGGGGCATGAAAAACTGATTTTAGGAGTGATATACCATCCCCCAAACTTAGATAGGGACCAAGGGAAACTACTATGGGAGGAAATTGTTAAGGCCACAAGGCACGATAATGTAGTAATTCTAGGAGACTTTAACTTTAGTCATGTTGATTGGAATTTCTTGACTGGGAATTTAGAATCATACGACTTCTTAGAAGTATTTCAGGATTGTTTTTTGAAGCAGTTTGTGACAGAACCTACAAGGGGAAA